TGCTGGTAGGTTCTCCCGTCCCGTTCCTTTGAACGATTTTATCTGAAGAGCTCTTTCTTAAATCTAAATAACGCCACATTAATAGATCCTACCTAGACAAAGCCGGGGCGTATCGCAAGTGAAAAATTCAAAAACAACGATTCGAGACAACTGTTGATAGAAACCAACACAAATTGTGCAAAATGTAGGTTTCTTATCCTGGTTGCATTGTGATTGTACCTATGTAACTGCCAATGCATCCCAGCTTGCCTCCGATCTCGTTCCATCTGCGTTAAATTGGGCACGGTTAAATTAAGATAAGTGAGTACCTCTATGTTTGATTATACACTTGTAGTATATCTTCTGTACCGTTGATAGTTTCCGGTTATTCCGCTGTTGATAATGTGGTTGAAAATAAGCTAAATGGACTTAATCATCATTCACAAAAAATACACGTTATTCATATACTATTTCGCAAAAGAACCAAATATTGCTCAATGCTATATTAAACCTAAAAACAACACGTGCCTCGCCATAAGTGAACCGAAGAGCGACTTCGAACAGCTTTTGCAATATCGCAACTTTGGCAACATTCCAGCACCGGTGTCCTGATTGCAACATTCGTATGTTGCGTAATACGAGGAACATGCTGAAACAAATTTTTGATACTGTTCAAATATTACACTCCATAGTCGAACTTTTTATTACTGATGGTTTATTTGACAATCTTAATAACCACTGTAATTACACACAGATCGATGTCAAAAATCTTAAAACTCCCAAAATTATGAATTTCAAATATATTAATATATAATTTAAAAAAAATGTAATTTGGTTTGTAATTTTTTTATATAGGATAAGGGTGACAAACGAGCACACAGTCTCGGTATACACAGTGGTAAGTGGTTGCTGTGGCCCATAGGCATCTACATCTACCCTCGACTAAGAATCAGACTCGACCAGAGAAGGACCACGCTCTCACAGAAAACCAGAGTAAAATAGCAGCTCATTGCTGCTGTGTATCGTATGGTGAGTGTAGAGAACCGGAGACCCTTTTTATTGGAAATCTAGGAATTCCATTTTTGTCCTCATTAGTGATAATGTATCTGCATTTTAATTCTTAATCGAGGATTGATATGTAGGTAGTAGGTGTTTATGAACCACAACATCCACTTTCCATCAGGTGGGTGGTGCCTTCGTTTGTCATTCTTACTCTAAAAAAACTTATGAAAGATGAATCATTAAATTTCATTATATTTATATTTATATACGGATTAGTAAGCTGAAGTGGCAGTGGGCCGGCCATATAGCTCGAAGAACCGACAACCGATGGGGAAGAAAGGTTCTCGAGTGGCGGCCTCGTACCGGTAGGCGAAGTGTAGGGCGTCCCCCCACGAGATGGAGTGACGACCTGGTAAGACATGCAGGAAGTCGATGGATGCAGGTGGCTCAGGACCGTGCTTTGTGGCATTCTTTGGGGGAGGCCTATGTTCTGCAGTGGACTTGTGAAGGGCTGTAATGATGATGAATGATGATGATATTTATATATACGTACCTACGTGTACAAAAATGGAAAATTGGTATTATTTGTGATAGAATTGTAATATTTATACATTTTGAGTCTTTTTACACGTTTTATATGTCAATATATGTGTGTATGTAAATATGTATGTATTAATGTAATAGAATTCTATAACTCACCTTTCACTTCCTACTAGGTAATAGAACTACGCTTTTACCTAGGAGTCTGTCTGGGTGGGTACCACGCTCTCAGCTATAATAAGCGTTATAAATAGTAGGTAATATAGTAATAGGTAGGTATAGGGTGATAAACGAGCACACAGACCACTTGATGGTAAGTGGTTACTGTGACTCAATAAAGACTCAAGATGCAGATGCGTTGTCACCTGTGAAGACTAAGATGGAATGCCTCTTTTCCAGTAAAAAGGGTCTCCGGTTCTCTACACTCACCATACGAATCACAGCAGCGTTGAGCTCCGGTCGAGTCGACCCATTCGTGCTACAACTGTACTACTAATATAGCTGCAGCATGGCTCTACCACGTAAAAAGTGTTAGTTAGGTGTTAAAGTTTAGGTCTAAAGGGTGTAGAAAGCCAGTATAATTACAGGATATGAGGATATGGAACGAATGTTTCATCATATTCTTTTGTAATAATTTTTTTTATAGGAGAGGGGGCAACGAGCATGCGGCTCACCTGATGGTAAGTGACTACCGCCGCCCATGAACAACTGCAACACCAGGGAGGGAATTGCAGATGCGTTGCCGACCTTTTAAAAAGGAGTACGCTCTTTTCTTGAAGGCCCCTAAGTCGTATCGGTCCGGAAAAATCGCTGATGGTAATCGATTCCACAAGGACGTCGTGCGAGGAAGAAAACATCTTCTAAATAGCACAGTGGTGGAAAAACTGGCACGATACTTAACTATTACTTTACTTATAATGTCCTCCATACTGAATTTTGGTCATCCCTTCCAGTCTAGACGGAGACCAGCCCATCTGCGCAGGACAGAATTGTAGTTCATGAACGTGTGCGTAAATACAGATGCACTCTCTATTCCCTCACACGCATAGATCGACGAACGATGCGACGGAAATCCTACACGACCCGAGAGAGATCAGGCGCAGGACCAACAACTTTATGTGCTTCCCGAGGTCGCCTAATTTCCCGGCTCTCGGCTGCTACTGAGAATTTACAGGAAAGCCAGCCTTAGTCGCCAGAGTTGACAACGCACTCTGCAACCTTCTTTGTTTGAAGTCGGTGGTAGGTGTTCATGGACTACAGTAGCTACTTACCATCCTAGTAGTCGACTTTACATCCTAGTAGTGACTGCCTCGTTGATCTAGTGGTTGTAGTAGTGCGACTGATGATCATGAGGTCCCGGGTTCGAATCCCGGGTCGGGCCAAAAAATCAGTTATTGAGTTTTTCTATCAAGAAATTCTCAGTACCTGCCCGGAGTCAGGAAGTTAGCGGTGTCTCACCCCCGTGCCTCGGAAAGCACGTTAAGCCGTTGGTCCTGCGCCTGATCTCTCTCCGGTCGTGTCGGTTTACCGTCCCATCGGGCTATGAGTGTGAGGGAATAGAGAGTGCACCTGTGCTTGCGCATACACTTGGGCACTATAATCCTGTCCTGCGCAGATGGCTAGCCGCCGTGACCGAAATTCGGTCTGGAGGACGTTATACCATCCTAGTAAATTGAATGAAATTGGATTCAGCGAGCTATAGATACGTTGTTTGAGCCGATCTTGGAGATATTGTCAATTTTATATTAGCCCATATTTCCAATATCGAAATATTATTGGATTAAAGCTTTCAATTGGCTTGCAGTTGAATTTCTTCTTTTCACATGTTTGGGTGCATTCTATTCCTTATCGCTCGAAGCTAAGGTACGGGCAGACTTCATGAATTGTGACTTTTATGATTTGTTTTTTTTCTCAAAACCTATTGGTCAGACCTTGATCAAATTTATATGGGACCACCTGGGAATTATACCATTTGAAACAAAAAAGAATTTTCCAAATCAGTTTAGGCGTCTTCGAGTAATCGGTGTACATACATTAAAAAAAAGAATTCGACGAATTGAGAACCTCTTCCTTATTGAAGTCGGTTAAAAAGCTATTTCCGTTAGGCAACAACTCTTTGCGGCTTTTTTTTTTGTTCCACACGCGTCCTGTGCCTCCATTATGTGAAGTCGTCCTGCACCTTTTCTGAACCAGACGTCTGACACTTTGACTCTGCTCTTACATCGCCTTCACACGGCAACCCTATTGAGACGGCTTTGTAATATTATTAATTTATACTGAGTATATCCACAATGCTTGCCTCGTTGATTTCTATACATAGATCGGGTCCGGTACCTACACTATAGTTTCGAATTTTATTGTTTTTCTTAATATGATGTCTGATAAATTTCATAGAAGGCCGTAACTGCAATACTACAAATATTTCCAACACCACAACTACTAAATTTTATGGGCACACGTCAATTATCTTGAGTCTCAACGACCGCGAGAGTAAAGGTAAATTTAGAATATTTTCTGAAACTTTCCGTGACAGTTAATATTTCCATTTGGTGACTGTACGTATACCTGTCTCTACATATTGGTAATGTTACGTAGTACTTTTAATGTACGTGGAGTTAAAGAAAAAACGTCATGTGGAAACGGTGGTTTTTGAGAAATGAAAAAAAAAAATTTCAAAGACATGTGAAACGCAGCGGTCATTTCCTTGCCCTAGAACATATTTTAGTAACGAGAGGGGAGGCCTGTGCCCAGCAATGTGCCGTATGAAGGCTATTACTTTACTTTACTTTTACTTAAAATTATATTTTGTATAGAATAATATAAAGAAGAAGATAAAACTATTAACAAAATGCGCTATTACCTATTTAACTACCAAGTACTTGTGCTACAATTTTTTTAAGTAAAATTAAGAAGACGAATCGGTGTAAATGTTGAATTTTCTATTTATTTATAAGCTAACTAATTATTGTTATTTTACCATATTATTTATTTAAAAGAAATAGGCTTAAAGTTCTGAGGAGCTTCATTATGCTTGTCTATTGCCAGGGAGTGAATCAACCAACGTTTTTATTCTAAAGCTCTCACTTGTATTGAATCATAATATCTGTATTATTATTTGGTACTTATGTATCGCCGATCACAAGGGGCTTGTTCACGTGACGCCCTCGGCCTTGACGGCGTTGTCCTCTGCGTAATATAATATATAGCTACGTTAGGATACACCTGTGAAGCAAGGCCCTCATCCTATAGACGCGCAGTTGCTCACACACCCCCGCCGTGCCCCTAGCCCAGTGCGCATGTGCAGCACTGACAGTCCGATCGTGCCAACACGTCCCAATCATTTTCTTCCTCGCGCTTCCTAATAATTATTTCACAATTAACAAATTAGCGTGACTGTCCTCGTGTATCAGCAAAGTGCTTATTATAGAGTTAAAACTGCGGGGTGAGGGCGTGAAGCGATGTATCCTCAATGATTCAGGATGGTTGCCAATATTGGCGTCATCAACCCGACTAATGGTACATAAACATTGCTCTTTCATTTGTTTTCCCCATTAAACTCTGTGACTTAATCATGACTTTGTACAGTGGAAGCAACGGCGTATATTAGTGCAGTAGCGGCGTTTGCCGTGGTCGTCCTTGTTTTGCTCCTATTCCTGGGAAGAAGATGGTGCTACTCAGCAGTCTTCAATCGAAAGTGCTGCGATGATATACTAGCCGTAAAATCTCATGCTCCGGACCCGAGCCTGCCACTTGACAATGCTCAATTCGGTGAGTACCGTTTTCTCTTTTTTTAGTCGCACTAAGTATACAATAGACAATAGAAACATGTTTTTTATTTTATGTTTGGATTAGTTGAAATATTAGATAATTTATAGAACGTTTGATATAATTCTAGAGCGCCGCTCCATTGTGAGCTATCGAATAAATTATTAATTAATGAGAGTTTGTAGTACAAGGTTTGTAGTGACCACAGCTCCAAGGCGACGAGCTTTCAAGGTCTTGTTTGTAAAGGCTAGCCATTGTAATAATACGTATTTTAAAATAGTATTGAAATTAAGGAATTACGTTTTAATTCTAACAAAATTGGTAGTTTATTAGTTTGCACTAGCTAGGATTATTAGAAAACCATAGTTTAGTAGAGTGTAATGTATGATATTTATTGACGTTGTCTGTACGTCTGTGTTGTTATAGATGCTTTGTCGAACCCGAAACATTACCCCGAACGCATATTCACGTTCGAGGCCTCCGATTCGGACGAGGAGCTGCGCTTGCGCATACAACAGGTACATTGGACTTCTATAGATAGATATATAAAATAAATTACGTAGCTTTTTTTAAATAATTAAATGTTTTTTTTTTGTTTTGTCAAATATAAGATGCAAAACTGGTCTATGTTTCGCTCATGTATTCATATAAAAAAGTAAGCTCCTTAAAGAAAGTACGAGCATTAAGATTTAAGAATTTCTGAGATTTTCAGAATATTTCTAGAATTTCCAGAATGGAAAATTTGAATTAAACTATGGATAAAGAAAATGTGTCAAGAAACTTCTACATCCTTACAGACTATTTTAAACACATTAAGTGGTTTACTGTATACAATCTAATAATAAATTAGAGAAGAATCTGTGGTACTTGCATCATCAAATTTAGTCCCTTTTTATAACTCCATTTTATACAATTTTGCCATTGTTTAAAGTTTAGCGATAGATACATATTTTTAAACGTTACAACACGCTACGAACTTCTCCTGTATCGTATGTTAAACGCCTAACACAGTAGATACATAAATTGTCATATTTTTGCTGCAACACTTCCATATTACCAAAATATTACCTACCCTACACCATAGAGCCCGCGATCGCTTGATTTCGTGTGCTGTGCGTCCACCCTCCACTGCATGTATTCAGTTTCAACCAACGCATTCGTCGCTTTAATATTACCTATCTAGCGGCAGCAAGCCATCTGCACTTTTTTCTATGGTAATAAAGAAATGTTATTCTATCAATCAATATATGATGAAACATTTCATATAATTCGCCCATTCTCTTCATTAAAATTTTTCACTTTGCAAGTTCACTTTTCCTTCTGTAACATCCGTCAAAGTGCGGCCAGTTCTTTCATCATCTCGCAAAGTTAGGCGAGAGTGCTGAAATTTGTTATACCAGAGTTACACGGTTGCCTTCGAAGGGCCTTATGCTATTTAAAGCCTATCAAACGATTCCTCCGGGTTCAGGCTTGAAATCGTAAAAATCATTTTTTTAAATCTTATTTCAATTTAGTTCGTCAAAAATGTGGAGAGAAATTTGAAATAATCGAAACATTCCTAGATTTACTTATAGACGATCATATTTTCAAAATAAATTATAACTGGCTCTCATACAGAAAAAACTTTTTTATGTTTAAATCCCACTAGATACTTACTCGTAGTTATATAGAAATCTTGAAGGAGATTTTATTCTATAATACCGTTCACCATCATAATTAGATTGGTAAAACAATTCTGAAACTATCTGTGTCGTATTGAGGAAAGGAGTGAATTTTTTATTAGTAAAAACGTTTTAATTAAATATAGTTTATAAAGTAAAAATATGTTGCTAATTACTTTTGTAACAATCTCTTATAAGATTAAGTATGTTGGGAGATTATTATTATTATACAGAAAACGTTAATAAATTTCCTGTAAGTGCGTTCAGTTCCTTAAATTGACTAGATCGATTTACCTAGGTATATCAAAATTTTGGCTAGGCAAAAGAGTCCTGAAATCAATATTTTTAATATACAGGGTTATGTAAATAAAACTAACTTTACGGATTTTTATGGCGTATATTAACTTATTTTATACTCTCGACGTTTCGAATAATTTTAAGCACCTATGGTCATGGGGGGCACTGAGGTGTTTGACGTCCCAATGTCATAGTTAACCATGGCTACCTCCAGATTAAAATTATTAATTTTAGTTCCGATCTACGCAGTATGAACTATTTTCTATTGCGTGTCGTCCCGTGGTTGTTTTAAAAGGCGATAGAAAGACACAAACAGGAGATGGGCAGCAGCGTCTACATCTACGTTGGCGGCTCGGTAGTAGTTGAACCTTTGATTGCAACCTTGTAAAACCGCGGCTTTATGAAGTTAGCGTCTGTATAGTCTAAATAATTTAGAATAAATTGGAGAAAATGCTACTATGGAGTAACATTTTATTTAAAAAAAAGCTAATATACGTCATCTTAGCTTCTGGAATACAGGCAGAATGATCCATTAGTCATAGCTTGTTAATAATAATGTGTAACACCTATTCTTTTTTCTTTGTTTTTGCAAAAAACGTTACCCGCACACTAGGATTTTCTCCTGTGTCATGGAGGCAGTTTACAAACATAAATTGCACAAGGACAAACATCCAGACCCGGAACAATTATTTGTAGGCCATACAAATACTTGTTCCGTGCGGGATTCGAACCCGCGGCCCCCAGCTCAACAACTGACTGCTAAGCCACTGCGCCACGGAGCCGTATTATGCCAAATAAACTAACTTTAATTATAATTATAGTGACTTGACTCATTAAACTGTATTTATTGCTGCTACTAGGTGAAAGTAAATATGTCGTACCTAATAGCAATTAGAAAATAAAAAAAAAACAGCGGTTGCTAACCCACCTGGCAAGCATGGCGACTAGTGCTAAAAGATCTTAGTATTTTATTGAGATCTCATTACTTTTGTATTTCAAACAGAACGTAATTCCTATATCTTTACAAAAGTAGAAAATTAATTATTGCTTAAAATCTTAAAACTTCTTAGTTACAATTTCGTACACTTTGTAAATATAATTAATATGTTTTGACAAACAATCTCTGTAGTAAATAAACCTAGCAAGCTAACAGCATAGCAAAGTGGCGAAGCAATCAGCTTTGTAGCGGTTTCTAACGGTTGCCGTTGAGCAATCAGTTTCAAAATAGGAGGTTCAGATGCCTGGGTGATCAGTAATCGATTGCTGAAAACAGAATTTGAAAATTCGAAACCGTTCTCGAGATAATCGTGGGACAGACGGACAGACGGACAGACGGACAGACGGACAGACATCGTGAAATCAATAAGTGACTTCGCAAGCTTCGCCACTTAATAAAACTAATTTATAAAACCATTTTAATATATTAAGGTTCTTAACAAATAAAAATACTGTTTATAACTAATAACTTTTATTTTTACAGGATAAGGAAGAAGTAGAGTGTCGCTACGAGGAGAAGAATGAAAATATTTCAGCGTCCGCGAAGGTAGAGGTGCAACTCGTCGAGACCGCTCTACGGGAGACTAGCTTGAGAGAGACCAAAATCGACGAAGTTGTTCCTAAAAAGGCGGATTATATTCATACACTAGAAGCACAGAGCAGTGTGGACAGCGATGTTATTGCACATAATGTAAATTAAGTTATATTCTTATATATATATTTTTAGTAGGAGCATCCTGTAACACTAAACTTATGCTTGAGGAAACAAATGAATACAACTATGAAGTCAAGCAACGTAAAGTAATATTTACAGTATTTTTGGACAAATAGTTATAGACAGTTTAAAAAAAAACATAAATGCAATGGAAAGAAGTTCTTTGTACAGTAATAAAAAACATTATTACGTAGGTACTATGACTTCCACAGTCCTACTATTTCACAGCACTTCCTACACTGGAAATTCAAAAATTCATTTTTCAATTCAACAAACTCAGTCCAACCTTCGTAACATATTGTTCAGTATTTTAATAGAACAGTCATGAAAGCATTCAACTTGGCTTCAAATAAAGTTTCGTATCAATTAAATCCTTAGGTAACCCAAAAGAATAGTTGCTCTAACATTTATGTTTTTCTAATATTGATGTCCAGCGACTACACTTCCTTCAAAGTCAGTTCTTAACAAATGACATAACAGTTTTCCAAACCTTAACAATACATTTATTAATCCAGGATACATCACTTCTTTGCGGTGAGAGCAGCAGTTCAACGGAGCGCGGGTCCGTTGAACTGACGCTGTTGTATGACGCACCCGTGCGCAGCATGACGGTGCATGTGCTACAAGCACGAGGGCTGCAGCATCGTTCACAAGGACAAGTGTTACAGAGTCAGGTAAATTAACAATTTACATCGTACATACGTCTTTTCTTATAGACACAGAATCCCTTGTTCTTTTTATAAAGAGTACATAATAAATATTATATAAGTAATATATGATATTTGTATTCTCAAATCTCATTATATATATATTTTTAATTACTTATTATCCAGGCGAGAATTGTACTTTTGCCATTGAAGAAGCAAAAATACAAATCGAAGATCCGCAATGGAGAGAACCCTCAATACATGGAGAGCTTTGTCCTACATAAAATCAATCCAGGTTAGTACAAAACGTAAACGATTTTACAATTCAAATTGATAATATATATTATTATCATTTTATTTATTTATTACTCTGACAGTCACGTACCGTTAAACGAAATGTTGACCGGCCCCCTACCAAATGGAGTGACGTCATACCTACAATACATATAGTAAGATATGGAAAAAGTCCATGGATGCAGGTGGCTTAGAACAGAACTGTGTTTTGTGGCGCTGAACATGCTCAATGGTGTGCTTATGAAGGGTAATGATGATGATGTTAATAATTAACGTATTATTTACATTTTGTTTAATTGATTCCAGCAATGGAATATGTAAATATTTCCAATCTACAAGAGTCTAATTCGGATTCCTATTTATATATTGGATTCTTGTAAATTATAAATATTGGAGAAAGGCGTTCACCATAATTCAATTGTTTGCTGTCCCACAATGTTATGGGAACTGTAAATATAACATAAATAAATAAATAAGATTCCGTAGGAGCCGAAAGTTAGAGGCGACTGAGGTAATAAGGTTACACTATATCTTGCTTACTTTTGTCCTGGTATATCATATCATACCAAAAACTGTTCGAATAGACTTTTATAAGATTATATTTGATTTTACCCCCGATGCACGATTCTTTCTTCATGATATTTTATTTAAAATCGTAGAGGATGTCCACGGGCTTGGTTTACGCATCCGTATTTACGGCTGTGAACGTATGCGACGTCAACGACTCCTAGGTGAAGCGGCCGTCAGCTTTGCCGCCCTCAACTTGGAGCTCGAGAACAATCTGTGGCTTCAGCTCACCCCACGCCAGCACCACCAGCCCACCTTACAAGTGAGATCACAGGTTATAGTTATAACATAAATTATATTTTATTGAATAACTCTGATCTCACGCCATTTAGCTGATATATGATTTATATTGATAGCCTCATTTATTTAGTGTTATTAAACGGTAATGCTGATCATGCGGTTCCCTCTTAGGATACCAGTCAGTCAATCCACACCAGTTATTGGCTTTTTCTATCAAAAAGTTCTCAGTTGCATCCCGAAGTCAGGAAGTTTGCGGTGTTTCATTTCAGTACCTGACTCTATCCGATCGTATCAAATTGCCGTCGTAAATATAAATGGCGTCTAGCTGTTAAATTACATGTTGCAACTAAAATCTTATACTGTTTGTCTTCCTAATAAAATAAAATAAAATATTCCTATAGAGAAACCATGAACGAGTCATTACGTCGTACGATTATGTTATGCTCTTTCTATCACGCCCTGGTGAATTTTTCCATACAATCAATATTTCTAAATAATCTGAAAATAGTTTAATAGTTATTTGTCATTATTCCCGTCATTTTATTCACTTACTCCGGTGTTCATAACCGAAACCCGCAGTGGAAATCGGCAGTCGAGAAGGCGAAATGCGTCATCTATTAAAATAAATAAAAAATATTTTCCTTTGAACTGCCGTCACTAGTTTTATTTTTAAGTAAAGGCTCTGAGCAACAAAGGAAGGTACACAGAATACTATGTAAATTTTTAATGCATTCGAAACCAACTTATTGTAAGAATATTGAATGTTATAGTATTAGTAAACGCATAAATTGTCTCTAAAAATCTCTAAATTTATTAAAATTCTGCTTAAAATATTCAAAATGTATTAAATCATATACATACACGTCGATTATATTGCAATAATAAAGATAAATAACATTTGTATTATAATAGAAAAAATGGATCAAAAAAAGTTGATGAAGGTGTTCATGTAATGTTCCCTTACATGGGGGCGTTGCCGGTGACACATACCCAAGGTTGTACATAATATATATGGGGTGGTCGGCTGATCGACTGCTTGTTGTAAGAACTCACGCTCTCGCCAAAAAGTAAAGAAGAAGAACTTACGCTCTCACGCTCACATAAGGCATATAAAATAATTTGAAAGCAACAAAAGTACATATTGTTACTTTACGGATTGTTACAGATAGAAGGCAGAAAAACGTGTGCGTGTCAAGAAATTAAACATGATTTCAATTGTTTATTATATCATAATGCTTGGATGCCCATAATTAATAAAATTAAGTCCAAACCCAAGCATACTGCAAGACCTCTGGATACTGTAAGCTCGTTCTGCGTAGATCAAACAAAAAAATAAATAAAAAAAGCTGAAGGTAGGCTTCGATAACTATGTCATGGACGTCAAACACCTCAGCAAAGCGCCCGAAGTGGCGGAATTTAAAAAAAGTTAAAATTAAATACTATAAAATCCTGATTCCGATGAAGCTGTCCCTAGCTAACTGGCTAACAGTACTAACATCACATCGACTTATAACACTTGCGCAAGTCTAATGCAGCGTGATACAGAATCACTTACACGCAGGGCCTGATTAACCCACAGGCTATATAGGCTGAAGCCTAGGGCTCATGGTTCGAGGGGGCGCTGAGCTTGCATTTGCAAGTACCTACCACTTATGTAAAGAATGGAATTTTGGTATATACCTCATAAAGTTCAAAAATTCTGTCACATGTTTAATATAAAATAATTGAAAAAAGTTTATTCAATGTGTAACCATTTATATACCAAAATGAACTTAGCAAAACATAGATTCTTATGACACTAAAGTTTATTCAAAATGACCTCCGTGATTTTGAATACAGGCCTTCAATCTGCGCGGCCAATCGTCTATCGCAGCACGAACGAGGTCCATGTCAATATCGCCGGCTGCTGCCTTAATCAAGGATGTCTTGAGTGACTCCAAATTGGGATGAGGCTTTGAGCACGCCTTTTCCTCCAAGTGTTGCTATATCTTGTAATCTAACGGATTCAAATCTGGACTGAAGGAGGGCCATTCTTCGTGCCGGATGAAGTCGATTTCACGCGCCGCCAGCCAGTCTTGTGTGCTCTTCGCTTTATGAGCTGGCGCCGAATCTTGTTGGAATACCCAGTGCCTGTTATTGAACATGGTATGAGAAACAGGTTCCACAAGGTTCGTCAGGACTGTATTTTGATATACAACAGCATTCGTTTTTACACCTTTCTCACAAAAATGTACCTCTGTTAAGCCCCAATAAGAAACTCCCAACAACCAAACCATGAGCGAGGATGGAAAATAACCTCGTTGGACACGCGGAATACGGTTGCTCGCTTCTTCACTACTGTGTGCGTACACCTTATCATTTTGTTTGTTGTAGCTCTCTTCTACGGTGAAAAGTTTTTCATCGGAAAAAAGAATTTCCCGATATTTTTTTCCCGCGTACCGCTTCAACAAAGCGCGGCATCTCTGCAGTCTCAGGTCCATTAGAAGAGCATTCAAACGATGTCCTGTTTTTCTTCGATATGCCCGAAGCCCTAAGTCTTCATTTAACACCCTTTTCACCGTGGTTCTGCTTAACCCCATCTGAAGGGCCAACAGTTACTGCTTACGTTTGGGATTTCTTTGATTTCGCACCTTCACAGCTTTTATCACTGCTGGAGTTCTAACAGGCCGAGGGCGACCAATTCTTGACCTGTCATCTACACTAGAGTCTTCATTGTATCGTTTGATGGTACGATAAACGAATCTTTTGAATATATTCAAATTTTTCAGTACGTTAAAAATTTGAATTGGCGCGTAACCGCAACGATGCAACGCAATAACTGCAACACGGTCTTCTTTAAGCGTCCACTCCATATTTAAAAATGAGTAAAATTCTAAAAAGTATACAGTTTTATTTTCATGAACAATTCGAAATTCGAATTCAATAAACTTTTTTGTGGCCAGCATTCTAAAAGAAAAGTTTTTACTGTGTGACAATACTTATGGCCTGACTAGGTACATATAATATTCTCAATGAACATTAGAGTTAAGTGCCGCAAGTATTTAACCTATTGCTCTTTCTATATTTTTGGTACAAAACATATAAATAGACTAGCTTTTTACCCGCGGCTTCGCTCGCGTGCACTTGAATTTAGGAACATCATTAAATGCTGTTCCGTGCCAAATTTAGAAAAATTTGATCACTTTAGAGTCTCTCGGTGTCTATGTCTCTACGTCTGTCAGATTTTTTTTTTCAGTCAAAAATACTATTAGACGTAGGTAATTGGTAACATGCTACAGAAACACGTGAATATATATTATGTCTAGAAACACCTACTATTTTTTATATAGGCCGTGTCTTCCGATTCCGATGTATCCATAAGAAAGGTAAATAGTCTTGAAATCGAAACGTATTATTATTTACATTTTACTCTTTACATTTATTCAGTGTTAAAGTTAATTTAGTTTTAACAAAGTAATATAATGTTTATTTGAGACATTTTATTCATATCATTGGTTCTATTTAATATTGATTGGCACCATAAAATAGATGGAGATATTTATTCTTTACTTCAAGTAGACTTGAAAATTTCATAAATACAGATCTATAATAAAGAGTACTACACATGGATCAAAACTAATGTCACGGGTTTTTTACGCATCTTGGATGAAAGTTCCGAGTAAAAGAACATATCGTTGATGAGAAGCACCGAAGCTCCGGAAAGTCTAAAGTATGTCAAAATGTTTAGGATCGTCCCAACCATTATATCGGATCTGATAGACAACAAATCCTTGCAATACCGAATCCTACTAATGATGATTCGCGAGGCTATTGAAATTAAAAATATCCTAATTTTAATAGGGAAGATTGTTGAGTGCTACCATCTGCTAAGGACCCCATAATTAATAAAGTTAAATTCAAACCACTACTGCATTTATTCTATTCTATTTTAACTATGACATCAGGTCATCAAACGTCAGTTCTCCCGCCCCTCCCGTGACCATGGGTGCTGCAAAGTGCCCAAAACATCGGAAATTTAAAAAGTTAATATTAAACGCGATATAATACTTAAAATTAGTTTTATTCCTTATTAATTTTATTCACAATGAACGTGAGAAGTACTCATGAACGGGTGTAGAAAAATGTTCGCCCTGTTGTGGCGGTAAAAGAAAATCCACCACCTCATATCGTCTCGTCGTAAGAGGCGACATAGGAAAACAAACTGGAGATGGGATGGGCTGCATCATCTTCTTGACAACAGATCAAAATAATAATAGTTGCGTTTACCATCCCCGCTACCAGGCGTGGCAACTATAGCAGATATCCAGCTACTTGACAATTTATGGGGGAGGCCTATGTTCATTTCAGTGGACTTTTGATAGGCTGACGATAATGAGTTCTACTCATCTTTAATTTTTGAATATTAAAAAAAAAAAGTAACATACCCGAAAATACGAATGAAATAAAACTACATATATTGCCTCATGAAAGGTAAAAAAGTAGCAGCTTACATACATGTAACTACTGGGCACAGGCCGCAGAGTTTTTGCCCAAAAAAGTGTTCGCTGCGCTGATTCCAACGCGGGATGAATGTATTGTAAATGATTCAATTATTTACATCGTATATTCATTAGCATTTTATTATTTAATTTTATCAATGACTTGCCATTTTATTTTATTTATAAGTAAGTAGGTGTCGCTAATATTAGATGAAATAATGAAAGCCAAACCAAAACTATACCATCTAGTAATATTAGCAATAGAAGCGAACATTTATTATATCAATAAAGGATAAAGTGATCTCAATTCTCTTAAAAGGTTTGTTTCTGTTAAAAAATACGCTATCAGTGAAAACCGCTAGGGGTGAAAAACGATTTAATTATATCCTCATATGACCATATTATGAAATAGCAACGTTGTGTTTAGTTATTTAATATCTTCAAACGATTTCTATTCATTGATTTGGTCAAGCAATATCATGACGCCTGCAACTTTACAAGGCGCAGGCTCGGCCTCACATGGAATACTGTTCCCATCTCTGGG